AGACACGTACTTGAGTGGGAAAATATCATAAAAATATCATGTTAATATCTAATATTTTTCAGTTCTCCGAGTTAATATTAAAATATTATGCTAGCTTTGCAAAAATGAGTTAATATTACTATTTAATATTTAAAATAGTACTACTACTATCAAAAATATCATACTACCTCCGCTCGCAAGAAGAAACCCATTTGTTTTTTTTTTGCGTAGCGCTCCGCCTTGTTCATTTGAGCGTTTATTAATTTGTGAGAGGCTGGCTAGCTAGCTTTATGACCGAGAGCAGACAGTGAGAAACTAAGCAAGGCACAGGCGTTCTTGCTCCGCCGTACAACTACAGATACAAAAACGGATCAGGGACGGCAGCTACATCGCCACATTCTGAAGGGGTGCTCAGTGGGGCTTCTGGAACTTCAGCGGTAGGCGGTGGGGGGCTGCTCGCTGCAAGAAGCAGCATGTACGCGTTAGCATTGGCGAGTGAGGTAGCGTCACAAGGCAGTGACGTAGGGAGAGTGCCAGCTCGTACTTGCTTGTCCTTGTGCCGGAGGCGCGCCAACTTGTGCGTGGGTGTAAGTAGTGGGCGGGTCTGTCTGAGCGCACGCCGTATGTAGCCTTCCTTTATCAGCTGCTGAGCCAGGTAGCAGCTCATGTTGGACGCGCGCTTAAGCAGACGCTGGTTTTCGCGCTCATTGACAGGAACTGCAGCGATTCTCTCGCACAGCTCAGCTCGAGCCACCTTCTTCCTACCACATGCGCTCTTCCTTGACTTGACCACGGCTGCTACTCGATCTCCCATCGAATTGATTCCACGCCTCCAAATTCGCTCGACAACTTGGCGGCCCACACGGAAGTACGCTGCAACCCGAACGATCTCTCCATGTTTGAGCACTCCTCCCACGCTACGAAGCAGTAAGGTCTCCCAGACGGCCTGGCGCGATCTCCCCCAGGTGCCAGCTTTCAAAATGAAAGCTGGGAGCGGGAGCCAGTCTGGTCGGGAAAGCGCGGGAGATTCGAAATCCAAAAAGTGATCGGCATAGAAGGGGTATTGTTTCTGGGTAGGCTGTAATATAATTTGAAATGGTTATCTTTTTCAGAGCGGAGGTAGTAAAATAAATCACAATTTTTGCTTCACCGTACTATATTTTGTTTTTTTTAGGCTGCTAAAAAGATTTTTATCCAGTGCGACAAGGAATAAGGCTTCATCGCAAACATTCGTAGCTACCTACGCGCGTACCTTAAATTTCTTGGCAGCAGGAACGATCGCGCTCTTGAAAATCTCGTCCGTGTCGTAGATAGTGTACTCGCCACGGAACGTCTTGAGCGACTCGAGTCCAAACTCCCAGTACTGCATACTCGAGCCTGCCGCGTACACAGCGTCGCTCCAGGCCTCGTACACGCTGGTGTTGTGACTTTTCACTCCATACTTCTCCATGACGACGGGTTTGCCAGCCTTTTTGCCAGAGGTGGCGTGATCTTTGATCCATTTCTCACCCCACGCCACAAAATCATTGGCGTCTACACCCCAGCCGTCCGGATAAGTGTGATAAGCTCCGTAGTCGAGGTTGGCATCGAAATCGACACCCGAGAGCCCAGAGTACAGATATACGCTGCTGTCTGTGTTTAGGAAACCCTCACTCCTCGTAGCCACAAGGTGATTCGAATCCAAACTCTTGATGTACTACAAATATATAGAAGAAGAAGAAAAACGTTAGATTGAGCAAAAACTAATCGGATAAAACAACTCACCGCCGACATCTCCGTCATCCAGGCATTGATAGTCTTTGTCGTACAATTTCCTGACTCAGCCAAGCCTCCACCGGAACCGGCACAGCGACATTCGTTGCAGAGCTCCCAACTCATAATTGTATCTTCCTTCTGCTCATTTTAGAAATAGCAAGAATACAAAATTATGTCTTCCAAAACCATTTCTTAAAAATAGAAATGCACCTTGTAGCGATTGACGAATGTGGCGACGTACTTCTTGTACGCCGCTTTGATCGTCTCGTCCGTGGAGAAATCGTCGTGATATTTGCCTCCCAGCTGCTTCACATACACATCTAAACAAGCAGCAAGTAATGAGCACGAACACGAGTCTCCAGATGATGCCTACCCATGCCGCCGTAATCCGACCAATTGTTCACTAACGGCACGACAAGTTTTACACCTGCTGCTTTAGCTGCAGCGACGACTTTATCAAAGTAGCCGAGGCCGTTGTCCTTGGTATTGATGCTAGCTTTGCCGTTCTCCCACAACTGGTACACGATGTTGTAGGGGGCCGTGCCGACAGTCGTCAAATCAGCGAAACCCATCGTGCGGCAAACAGTGATGTCGCTGGAGATCATCGACTTAAAAATGGTGGACAGGTCCTTCTCGCTCTGTATACACACGGTCGTTGTCAGCTAAATCAAAGCGATTGCGTTTCAGATAGAAATTGGTTACAATGCACAGTACCCAGTCGATCTCAGAAGCCCAGTACGCATTCGTGCCAAAGATGTAGAACGGCTTGCCGTCCACTTCAAATGCCGTACCAGACGTCGTCACGAAACCAGCAGACACGATCTGGAAGCCAAAGCGAAAGCAACGATGACAACTCTCATCTTCGATGCAAGGTAAAAGTCGTTTTGAGCCAGGGGTGAGCACAGTTCGGGACTCACTGTTCCTGGGATTTGTGGAGTTACTTCACTGAAGTAAAGTAAAATAAAAACATGATCAGCTGGCACAAACAAAAATGGTTTACCAAAAAGTATATTCGCTGAAATTTATTTCAGAGCTACGCACACACAGTCGTGCTGGTCTTTGCATTAGAATTGCCTGCCAGGAGGCGATGCATAGTGCTTTAAAGGAATAAGTTCTCATATGTAACGACTTGCAAGCCATTAGTTTTCTTCGCAAGTCTAGAAGTGCTCACCAGGGTGCACGCATCGATGTCTGTGACGGGGTCACGCAGCACCTTGCGCTAGAGGGAAGTTGGCTTCCGAGAGTATACCAAACCTTTTCAGTTCACAAAGTCTCCTTTTTGCCGTAAAGGGGGGGCGAA